CTTAATTTCCATTTCAGTTTGTTCATTGCTGGTGTATAGAAACACAACTGATTTGTGTGTATTGATCTTGTATCCCGCAACTTTACTGAATTAATTTCTTAGCTCTAGTAGATTTCTTTTGGATTATTTGGGATTTTATGTAGTAGGATGATGTCATGTGTGAATAGTTTTACTTCTCCTTTTCCAATTTGGATGCCTTTTATTTCTTTTTCTTATCTAATTGCTCTGGCTAGAACTTCCAGTACAATGTTGAATAGCAGTGGTGAGGGCAGACATCGTTGTCTTGATCCAGATTTTAGGAAGAAAGCTTTTAGTCTTTCACAATTGAGGATGATGTTGTTGTTGTTGTTAGGTGCCGTCAAATCAGTTCCGACTCATAGCGACCCTATGCACCACAGAACGAAATACTGCCCAGTCCTGCGCCATGCTCATGATCGTTGTTATGCTTGAGCCCATTGTTGCAGCCACTGTGTCAATCCATCTCATTGAGGGTCTTCCTCTTTTTCGCTGACGCTCTACTTTACCAAGTATGATGTTCTTCTCCAGGGACTGATGCCTCCTGACAACATGTCCAAAGTATGTAAGACGTAGTCTCGCCATAGGTTTTTCATAAATGCCCTTTATTATGTTGCAGAAGTTTGGAAGTTTCCTTCTATTCCTAGTCTTCTGACTGTTTTTATCATTAAAGCATGCTGGATTTGTCAATTGCCTGTATTGCATTAATTAAGACGATCATGTGAATTTTTCCCCTTTGTTTTATTAATGTGGTGTACTACATTAATTGATTTTCGTATGTTGAACCACCTTTGCATTCCTGGGATAAATCTCACTTAGTCATGGTGTATAATCCCTTTAACATGGTATTGGATTGTTGGTCTGTAACTCTTTTCCTGTGATGTTTGTGTCTGTCTTTGGTATCAGAGTAATGCTAGTCTCATAAAATGAGTTAAAAAGTGTTCCCTCCTCTTCTGATTATTTGAAAGAGTTTAAGAAATACTGACGTTAATTCTTCTTTAAATGTTAGGTAGCATTCACTGGTGAAGCCGTGGTCCAGGACTTTTTTGGTTGGGAGGTTTTTGATTACTGATTCAGTGTCTTCACTTGTTATATGTCTGTTTAGATTTTCTATTTTTTCTTGAGTCAGTTTTGGTAGCTTATGTGTTTCTAGGAATTTGTCCATTTCAAATGGATTATCTAATTCATTGGCATACAATTGTTCATAGTCTTCTATTATAATCCTTTTTATTTCTTTATGGTCAGAAGTAATGTACCCAGTTTCATTTCTGATTTTAGTTATTTGTGCATCTCTCTGTTTTTCTTTGTCAGTCTAGCTAAAAGCAATGGATTTGTCAAGTTTATTGGTCTTTTCCCAAAGAACTAACTTTTGGTGTTTTTTATTCTCTTTATTGTTTGTCTATTCTTTCTTTCTTTTGTCTCTGCTCTAGTGTTTATTATTTTCTTTCTTCATTTTTCTCTTGCTGCTTTCAAGACTTACTCCTCTTTGACTTTTATCATGTTTACTATGATATGATGTTTGCGGGTCTCTTTGCATTTATCCTACTTGGAGTTTGTTGAGATTCCTGAATGTGTAGGTTGTTGTTCTTCAATACATTTGGGTAGTTTTCAGCCATTATTTCTTGAAATATTTTTTTCTTTTCCTTTTTCTGTCTCCTCTCCTTCTGGTACTCTCATTATCCATAGGTTGGTGTGCTTAATAGTATCCCACATTTTTCTGAGGCTCTGTTCTTTTTTTATTCTTTTTTCTCTCTGTTCTTTGGCTTGCATAATTGCCATCCATTTATCTTCAAGTTCACTAATTTTTTTTTCTGCCAGTTCAAATTTCTATTGAGTCCCTCTAGTGAACTTTTTCAGTTATAATGCTTTTCAACTCCAGAATTTACATTTGTTTCTTTTGATGCAATATTGTCATCATACCTTCCTTTACTTCTCTAGTCATGCTTTCCTTTAGTTCTGCGAACATGTATATAATGGCTACTTTAAAGTTTTTTCCAGATAAATCGGACGTCTGATCACTCTCACAGGCAGTTTATGTTGCCTGCTCCCCACCCCAACCCCCCAGTGGATGGGTCGTATTTTCCTATTTTGTTGCATGCCTCATAATTTTTTGTTGTTGTTGTCATTGTTGAAAATTGGACATTTTAGATAATACATTGTAGCAACTCTGGGTACTGGTTCTCCCTTTTCCTCTGGGAATGTTATTGTTTTTTGCTTGTTCATTTGTTTAGTAACTGGCTGGATTATTTTAGTGAATTTTATTTCCTCCCTACATTGTTAATTCTCTGCTGTTGCTCCTTGGGGAGGTCCTGCTCTGGGTACGTCCATAGTTGCCTTGGGACAACAATGGTACTGATAAGTCTCTCTTTCTCTCTTTCCCTGACCACACCCAGCTGTTACAGTCCACTAACTGCTGGCCAATTGCCCTATTGTTTTTTAACAATACCTTGTAGAATAATTCTTCTACAAATTAATCTAATTAAATTGTGACTCCTTCAACAGACTAGTCTCTGAGGTCAGTGTTTGGTATTCGTCTGACTCCAGGTGGACTCCTTTCAGCTGTCTTGTTTCCTAGTTCTTTCCTGTAAACCAGCCAGCTACAGTCTAGACTATATCTTTATTAAATACATAAATCTCCTCCCAGTTCCCTTCACCACAGCCTCCACTGTTTTTGAGAGTGCCCTTAGGCTTGGACTTCTCCATGCTCTGTAGTAAATGAAGTCAGTTTCTTTGGGAAGAGATTAGAAGCTGTTTTACAGCCTGCTTCTCCCCCTAGGTAGATTCTCTGAACCAGGATTATGGAACTAGGGGAGACGACAATGGCAAACTTCTCCCTGAATGACAACCCCGCTCTAAGAGCTGAGCCCTTGGTGGAGGTGGCTTAGTAGCCTTGGGTCATCTCAGCTTGCCTTTCCTGGTATGGAACCACTCATCACAAGCCAAGTGAAGGGCTGTTGGGGCTTCAGTATTCTCAGCATACAGCACCCAAAGTAGAGCCTTTGTTCTGTGAGTGTGAATTGGGTAGAAGAAGGGAGTTCCCACCTCTTGACTACACTCAACCAGGACTTAGCCTCAGCGGCAAACTGCTGGGGAGAGGATAACAAACACTGATGTCCTGCTCCTCCTGGGAAGAAAGCCCTTCAACTGGAAGCTGTGGGGGAGAGGGTGCCCTGTGTTCTTGGCTGCAGCAGTTTGGAGTAGAGTCTACACCTTGCTGAGCTTTGAGGGGAGGGGAACAGCCTTGGTTCAAATACCACAGATTATCACCTTTCTTAACAAATTTTCATAGATGTTCTTGAATAGGTATTTCTTCATTTGTTGTTTTCCCTCAGTACCACTTCCAGAGGCTTTAAATGGTTTTGTTTGTTTATAACTTTCACTAGTAGGGAGTAGGTCAGCAGAGCTCCTCACGTCGTCGTCAGGCTGGAAGTCTATTTCTTCATGAATTTTTCATTGTCTTTTTTGACTGTGGTTTTGCAAATAATAATAATAATCAAATTCCTCATTTTTTAAAATAGAACTACATTCTGATGTAAAAGTTATGGCACTTAGACTGAGGGTCACTAAGCTCTTTTATAGAATTCATATAGTTCAGGCACCTATGGTAGAGCCGGAATATTTTCCTAAAAAAGAGCTTTAATTCTATTCAAGTACTAGAATATATGATTGGCAGTGGTGGTTCAGTGGTAGAATTCTCACCTTCCATGTGGGAGACCTGGGTTTGATTCCTGGAAAATGTACCTCATGTGAAGCCACCACTTATCTGTCAGTGGAGGCTTGTGTGTTGCTATTATGCTGAACAGATTTCAGTGGAGCTTCCCGACTAGGACTAGGAAGAAAGCCTGGAGATCTACTTCCAAAAAATCAGCCAGTGAAAATCCTATGGATCACAACAGTTTAATTTCATTGTGCATGGGGTCTCCATGAGACTGGGGCCGAGTCAATGGCAACTCACAACAACAACGATGAGACTATATAGAGTTTTGCTCCCTAAAGCTTGAATTTTGATATGAAAACATGAGTGAGGGAATACAGAAACCTCAGCTGACTTCTGAGCCCTGCATCCCAGTGGGGCCATTGCCTCATCATGATGAATTAGCTGAGTGCAGAAGTTGCTTGTGCAAATGATTCAGTTCTTGTCATGAATCAGAGCAACCAACACTATAAAATATTTCTGTGTGATTCTGTGTGATGACTCTATCAATGATCCCTAGTTTTTATCAACCTTGTAACCATAGACTCTGGATTACAACAAACACAACACAGTGTTAGTCACAGTGTAGGCACAGTGTCAAACTTGGGTTAGTTGCCTTTCTAACTTGACTCTGTGATAGAGAAGTTGAGATTTTAAACCTTAGACTTTTTTTGCGTCTCCTCATTTCATCTCAAATGTCCCAATCCCCTTAATGCAACCCTAAGATACCTACCAAAATTACCTTTTTTTTTGAATTAATGGGTGTAGTTCTGCATTCATTAACTTTATCAATAAATAAAGAAAACCAAACCTGTTGCCGTCAAGTTGATTCTGACTCATAGCGACCCTATAAGGCAGAGTAGAACTGCACTATAGGGTTTCCAAGGAGAGCCTGGTGGATTCGAACTGCCGACCTTTTGGTTAGTAGCCGTAGCTCTTAACCACTACGCCACCAGGGTTTCCTTATCAATAAATAGGGTAGAACTAAATAAAGTAAAGGAGTGCTGAGTGGTGCAAATGGTTAAGCACTCCGCTACTAACTGAAAGGTTGGTAATTCGAACCCACCCAGAAGTTTCTGGGAAGTCAGGGCTGGCAATTTTCATAGCCTTGAAAACCTTATGGAGCACAGGTCTGCTCCGCACACAGTGGGGTCTTCATGAGTCGTAGCAGACTTGAAGACAACTGGTTTGATTTTTCTGGTAAATAAAGCAAAGCTGTATTACCTACTTCAGAAGATAAAGCAATCCTTTCTGATGTTTTACGAATTATCCTCATTTTGTGCTTTTATAGATTGTCCTCCAATCAGGAACTACATGGTCTTCAATGTCACCAGCAGAAGTTTTCAAGTGTCTTGGAGTTTAAATTCTATCCAGAACCATACTTTCCAAGTCCAGGTTTTCAAGGGCGATGAATTAGTCAGAAGTGCCAGGACCAGAGGGATGTCCCTCGAGGTGGTGGGGCTGGAGGCTGGAGTACTGTATGGGGTGAAGACCAGCTACCAGGAGTGTGGGGCTGACGTCACTGCTGCGCTGACTGTCAGAACAGGTACGGTCAATGGGCAAAAAGCCACCTGCTGCCTCTCGAGTTTGTCTTTCTGTCTTATGTCCTAGAGCTGCCATGACAAAACACCCTAGAGTGGGTGGGTTTAAACAGCAGGCATTTATTGTCTCACAGGTCTGAAGGTTGGAAGTCTGGGATCAGGGTCAGCCATGTTGATTCCTCTGAGGCTCTGAGGAGAATCTGTTCCACGCCTCTCCCCCAGCTTTTGGTAGCTTCAGACCTTCCTTGGCCTGGGGATGCATCATCACATAGCCTCCTCCTCTGTCTGTGTCTCTGTGTCTCTTCTCCTCTTTCATAAGGACACCAACAAGAGGGGATTAAGACCCACTCTAACCAAAACACCAAACCCCTTGCCATCAAGTCAATTCTGACTCATAGCAACCCTGTAGGACAGAGTAGAACTGCCCCATAGAGTTTCGAAGGAATGGCTGGTGGATTCGAACTGCCAACCTTTTGGTTAGCAGTTGAGTTCTTAACCACTGACCCACCAGGGCTCACCCTGCTCTAACACAATCTTATGTTAAACCTAACTGATAACATCTGCGAAGACCTTACTTCCAAACACGGTCAAGTTGACAGCTATTGCGGGTTACAACTTCAACATACCTTTAAAAAAAACGAAAAAAAACCAAACCCGTTGCTGTCGAGTCGATTCCGACTCATAGCAACCCTATAGGACAGAGTAGAACTGCCCTATAGAGTTTCCAAGGAGCACCTGGTGGATTCGAACTGCCAACCTTTGCTAGCAGCCGTAGCTCTTAACCACTGCACCACCAGGGTTTCTAGCATACCTATCGGGGGGACCCAATTCAACCCTTAACAGTCTCTACCACGGTTCTGTTGTTCTCAGAGCTTCAAATCTTTGTTCTTCCTATAATGAGGGCACAGGAAGTAATTGTGCAGGCCCCACAGTTCCTCATGGGAGCAGTGCAAGAGCTCCGGCGCTCCTTTTGAGAGTGGGCCCTAGTCTTGGCCGTCACAGGCTCCTGTAGCTTCCCCATGTCTTGTTATGGTTGGGGCTTACTCTGACATCTGTGGGGACTAGATATGGCATCTGTGGAGAGCCTGTCCCATTTTAAAGGACTTATAACATATTCAGGCCCCTAGGTAGTGCAAATGGTTTGGCTCAGCTACTAACTAAAAGGTTGGTTATCAATTTGAATCCACTGAAAGGCGCCTCAGAAGACATGCCTGGATATCTAGACCTCCATAAGATTACAGCCATTGAAAACCCTATGGAGCAGTTCTAGTCTGAAACATGTGGGGTCACCATGAGTCAGAATTGACTTGATGGCAACAGGTGTAACATGCAGGTCAAAATCACACCAAACTCATTGCCGTCAAGTTGATTCTGATTCACAGTGAGCCTAGAGACCCTAGAGGGCAGAGTAGAACTGTCCCGTAGGGCTTCCAAGGAGCGCCTGGTGGATTTGAACTGCTGAACTTTTGGTTAGCGCCAGACTCTTAACCACTATGCCATGCAGGTAGGGTGAGGCAAAAGGTGTAATAAGGTAGCAATTTGCATGCATTTAGAGATCCTTTGTCATCTTGATCCCAACATAGCTGGGTTTGCATAACGTTCCAAACCAAAGAGCTGAACCTCACATTAACATATTCATGAAGCATGCCTCATTTCCCAGGTGATGCACATGAGGAGTTAATAATACAATGTACACTCATTTGTGCCATGAGGAAACTTCCCTCAAGCAAACACTACACACACACATGAACTCTAGTTTCTGGAAAGCAGCTGACCTGGCCCATCTCTATCCCATGACTCATCCTGCCCTCTGGTCACGGGTGGTACCTGGATGGTGTACTGACTGCTGCCCAGTTAGGCATGGGTGGTGGAAGTTCTTCCCCAGTAGGGACCTGTGGCTTCAGGGTGTGAGTGTGTGTGTGATGGGGGCAGGGGGGCGGTAGAGTGCTAAAACATTCTGGTCCAAGTGTTCCAGATACATGCATCCTCGATCTAGAACACGTGCGGGCCCCAGCCTGGAGGGTCCAGGCTCGGTGGCTCAGCAGAGGGAGCAGAGACAGAAATCACTGCATAAAAGATGCTACCCCTGAGGTCTGTCTCTTGCATAGAGATTAGCACTAATGGCAGGGACTGGTGGCATTAAATGAAGAAGGGGAGGAGCAGGCCTTCAGTGAGATGGCTCTACATTCTTTATGAACTGATTTGGGGTTGACCCCATGCTAAATGGTCATAGCAGGCAGGACAGGTCCCCAGAGGGTCCTCCAAGGACCTAGTCATGCAAAACGCAAGCTCTTGAATTTGCATGATGCTTCTACTGATTCAGCAGGCTCCATCTCATTCTCTCATTTTAGTTTCAAAATCCTTAGGGAGTAAGTGCAAGCTGCACTCCTTTCCCATTGAGGAATCTGAGACCAGAGAGGGGGTTACTTACCTGAAGGTTACGCATGTGTGAAGGTCAAGCTTGAGCTCTAGGGATCCCTGCTGTGCCGCTTTCTCTGCACCCTGTGAATGCATCAAGCTCACCTCCCAACTCATTTCCAAGACCAGTTGCTGTTGAGTTGATCCCAATTATAGATTTCTCCCAATTTGACTACCCCAATCTAAGACTGTCGTGGATCGAATTGTGTCCCCAAAAGCATGTGTTGAAATCCTAACTCCTGAACTTGTAAATGTGACCATGTTTGGAAATAAGAATTTTTTTGTTTTGTTAATTAGGTCATAGCAGAGTAGAATGGGTCCTCAACCTAATCCCTTCTCAGTGGTGTCTTATAAACAGAGCAGAAGTGGTGCAGACCCATGGATGAATCTACAAGCTCAGGAACACCAAAGATTGTTGGCAGCTACTAGAAGCTGAAAGAGACAAAGAAGGACCTCCCCCTAGAGTCACGCCCTGAATTTGGACTTCCAGCCTCCTGAACTGTGAGACAACAAATTTCTGTCCATTAAAGCCACTCACTTTGGTATTTCTGTTACAGCGGCACTAGATAACTAAGTCAAAGACTCATACGTCAATCTTTTTTTTTTTTTTTAAGTTTCCCCTCAACAGGATAGGTTTTATGGAAAATATTGTTGGAAAAGTGTGTGACTTTTGATGAAATGATTTCATATAATTTGTATTACTGTCTGTCTCAGATGCCCGGGTATTCGAAGTCACAATAAGGATTATCAACCGCAACTTCACGGACAAGCTACTCAACCGCAGCAGTGAAGAATACAAGGACTTTTCTAGACAATTGCTGCAGGAGGTAAAAACAAAGCACAGACACATGGGACTTTTCTTGGGTGTTCTGAGCAAGAACACCAAACACAAGCCAGCAACACCTGCCCAATCCCTTCTCTGTGACTGGCAAAATTACACTTTATCACAGCTTCAGGGGAGGCTAAACCCAAATTGCACAGTAATTACGTACAAGTGATTTTTTTTATGGGTTATTTAATCTAGATTTTGGATTGGGGCAATCTATCTTTGAAATATGTTCCTTTGATTCAAATGGGCTGCACTACTTGATTGTACACCTGAATTTTCTGTTGAACCTCCCATCTGTGGGATCTGGGTGATCGATCTTCCTGCTTTGGTGTAGTTTCATTAATGAAGCATTTACCAATGATCACACCTTCCATTTCTCCCTTGTGGTTGAAGGGAGACATCAGCACACAGTCTAGAAGAATCAGGCCAGTGTTAAATATTATCTACACATTGGTGATGAATTGGAGGAAAGAGTGACTTACTAAACTGAAGAACTGTGGAAGGTCTGAGTGTTTACCCTTATTGCAAGCTAACAAGTCAGCCTGCCACAGCTTCACAGATGCTGGCAGAAGACACAAGACTCCTGGGTCGGAGACAAAGGACTTTATCACTCACATCTCAACAGGTGGCGTGAGCTTCATGTTCACATCAGCTCCTCTTGCCCCTACATCCCATGGGGGAGACATGGAAGGGCTCAGATGGATGATACACATGCAACGGGCTGTGTTGCAGCTGAGGAACCCCAAGCTTAGGAACTCAAATCTTTTATAGTGGACTGCTAGCAAATCTACCTAAACTTTGCTCCAGAGGGAGTCATTATCTTCATTATAAACATCAGTTGCTATCAAGTCGATTTTGACTCATGGAAACCCCATGTGTGTCAGAGTAGAACTATGCTCCATGGGGTTTTCAATGGCTGATTTTTTTGGAAGTAGATCACCAGGCCTTTATTCTGATGTGCCTCTGATGGACTTGAATCTCCAACCTTTTGGTTAGGAGCTGAGTATGTTAACCGTTTGCACCACCCAGGAATGGTATCTTTATTATACTGGACAATAAACAGAACTGCCCTTTGCTCTTGAGTGAGACATTACATTGTGTCTTCTGACATCCTTGAAAAGATATTCTGGAACAAAAGGGTAGTTCATGTCAAGATGTGCAGAAAGATGTGGAGAAAGTCACAAGATCCATAGAGAGTTGTCCCCCAACATTCATCTTCAAGGGAATCAGTTTTTGAACTTTCTTAGAGAATTCCCTCTCCTTCTCTGTGTTGGTTCAATTGTGTGCACAGGAACAGAGTGGTAGGAAGGCAGGAGGCAAGACTGATGTCTTCTTTGCAGGGGCATGAGTGACCCTGAGCACCTAGTTCTGCCTGTGTGTTTCATGGGGGATACAGCCCAGTATGGGTGTGTGTGGGGGAGGATAACTCCAAATAGTCACAGGGATTGCTCCTTGATGGTCCCTGTTTGTCAGTCCATCCATTTATCCATCCACCCATCCATCCATCCATCCATCCATCCATCCATCCATCCATCCATTCACCCACCCATCCATCCATCCATCCATCCAATGGTGTGTCTCTGTCTCTCTCACACACACATACAAATTACTTTCACAGTAATGTTCATAGCACCTAGACGGGCTTCTTCATCTAATGCTCCATTGCTGGGAGCTTGATTGCAGTGGTCATTGCACATTCTCCAACAAACACCAGGCCAGGCCAGGCAATTCCAGGGAGAGCCCAACTGGGGAGTAGTGAATCAGGAGGGCATCTCTGCTTACCCTTCATAAGTTGGTTGCTGGGTAGCTCCTCTTGATCTCAAAAGGGCAAATGGATCCTGTGCACCCTCCATCAGTCACACGTGGGTCCTTAGTCAATGCTTTTGAAGATGTTGATGGAAATAAATGTTCTATCTGAATTGCTGTTGCTTCTTCTTGGATAGGTTGAAAAATCTTTCCCTCCGGCTGTTTCTGACTTGTACAGAAGAGGGAAACTGCGGGTGGAGATTGTATCACTTCGAGCCGGAAGTGTGGTTGTGAAGCTCAGACTCACAATACAAGATCCTGAGTTTCCAGTGTATATTTCCACGCTGTCTCCCATGCTTCCGCCTCTGTTCATGAGCACAGCGTTCCAAGTCGACCAACAGGGGACACTAGTGCAAGGTAGGTTCTCCTCCCCAAGCCTCGAATGTGGCACCGTGATGCCCCTCCATCTTCTGGGCTACAGTATTTTGGGTCAAAACTGACTTTATCCCGAAAAGATAAATAAAGTAAACGAAATATAAATCCTTGACCTGTGTTCTCCACTGGAACTGGGAGACCTACCCCGGAGGCCTGAAACACAGAGCATAACTGCATTGCACTTGCATTTCACACCTGGTTGCTCCCCTTAGGAAAAGGTACCCAGAGAGCTGGGACAGAGCTTACTCCCTATGGAGCAATAACTCTTGGCTTTCGTAGGCCCAGGACACAGGAAGAAACCCTGGCTGGAGGATCCCAAGAGGAGGTAGACTCTGGGTGCCTACCTGTGTCTTGTGCTAATGTGTGACTCTATTTCAGTAGCCCATACAGTATTTACTTGGAGCTGCCTTGAGGTAGGAAGTGCTCGGAAGTCACAGAAGCAGGAGAAAGACGGGGGTAGGTAGGGAAGCAGAGAGAGAGAGACTGAGTACTGACATTTTAGGAAGAGTTTGCTACTCAAATGCAGGGATAAAGTTTCTATGTGGCAGTGAGGGCACTGGCAATCTCTACATCAGTTTTGGGCTTCATCAGTGGAATGGGTGTCCCTCTAGGGTACCCTTAGCAGGCACTGGGTCCTAGAGTGAGCTCGGTCACCTTCTTTGTGCTCAGATGAGTGCTGATTCGCTGGCCCAACCTACCTGCCAAACCCCAGGAGTGCAGGGAAGGCTCTGGCATGTATGCATTTTGAAGACCCACCTGGAAAACACTTGCCAGCTCAGCCTGGGGGTTGCCCTGTTCACTCAGTGCCCCTTGGGGGAGGTGCCAAAGTGGCCCTTTGCACCTAGTAGGACCCCATCTGGCTAAGCTGCCAGGCTAGGGGCTGGGCAGGAGGTGAGGGTCCTGCAGGTGAGTCCTCAGCAAATGCCCAAGGGCCCACCTCAGCCCAAACCTGAGCCGTCTTCAGCGGACCAGCCCAGCCTGCTCACCGCTCCCAGCCATGTCCCCATGGAGCAGGGCTTAGACTGTTCCAGGTCTCTGCCAAATGAGGACAGTGGCAGGAGGGATGTAGTGGGCTGAATAAACGTGGCTCCAAAATGACACATCCACCCAGAACCTCTAAGTGTACTGTATTAGCGTCCTAGGGCTGCTGTAACAAAATACCACCAACTAGAAGGCTTGTAAGAACAGAAATGTATTCTCTTGCAGTTCTGGAGGCCAGAAGTCCAGTTTAGGGTGTTGGCAGAGCCACACTCTCTCTGAAGGCTCTAGTGGAAGTCTTGTTGCTCCTAGCTTCTCGTGGCCCCAGGTGTTCCTTGTCTTGTAGCTACAGCATAAATCTGTCTTCACATGGGTGCTGTCCCTCTGTCCCTGTGTCTCTTCTCCTCCTTTATAAGGGACACCACTCAGGTGGGATTAGGACCCACCCTACTCCAGTAGGACCTCATGTTAGCTAATAGCATCTTCAAAGAGTTTATCTCCAGACAAAGTCTCATGCACAGGTACAGGGCTTAAGACTTCAACCTATCTTTTTGGGGGACACAGTTCAATCCATAGCAGTGAACTTCTTTGGAATCAAGGTCTTTGCAGACATAATTAAGGTGAGGATCTCGAGATGAGATTGACCTAGGTTAGGTGGAGCCCTAAATCCAATAAATCATTTTTAAGTATCCCACCCCTTCCACCCCCCATGAAGTTCCAGAAGCCCCCTAGGAAGGTGCTAAGCACCTTGAGCCAGCTCTTGTCCCACAGAGTTCCAGACAAAAAGGAGCATTTATGTAATATTTTAGGGTTGAGTGTTGTTATAGAAGAACCTCCCTGGGCCTGGGAATTGGCATGTTTGGCCCAGTGATACGGAGGCCTTGGGCTGTTTGTTGGTGGGGAGGTGACTTCCCCACACAGTGTCTTCTGACCAGTGACTGATCGCTTCTCTGGACACCAGTGCCTAGGAGCTGACCACTGGGACTCCAGCCCCCAGCAAGGGGAGGCAGCACAGGCCTGGGTCCCCACGTGGGAAAAGCCTCCTCGTCTTCTGAAGGGAGCCCTCTTTGCCTTTGGGATCGAGGAAATAGAGAACAGCTCTCTCATGCCATTCTGCACAAGGCTGCAAACCGCTACTCAAAAACCTCTTCAGAGGAAGCTTTGTTTTTTATTTTTTTAATTTTTTATTGTACTTTAGATGAAGGTTTACAGAACAAATAGTTTCTCATTAAACAGTTAGTACACGTATTATTTTATGACAATGGTTAACAACACCCCGACATGTTAACATTATCCCTTCTCAACCTTGGGTTCCCTATTACCAGCTTTCCTATCCCCTCCTGACTTCTAGTCCTTATCTCTGGACTGTTGTGCCCCAGTAGTCTCATTTTGTTTTATGGGGTTGTCTAATCTTTGGCTGAACGGTGAACCTCTGGAGTGACTTCATTACTGAGCTAAAAGGGTGTCTGGGGGCCATAGTCATGGGGTTTCTCCAGTCTCTGTCAGGCCAGTAAGTCTGGTCTTTTATTGTGTGTTAGAATTTTGTTCTACATTTTTCTTCAGCTCTGTCCGGGACCCTCTGTTGTGATCCCTGTCAGAGAAGTCAGTGGTGGTAGCTGGGCACCATCTAGTTGTACTGGACTCAGTCTGCTGGAGGCTGTGGTAGTTGTGGTCCCTTAGTCCTTCGGACTAATCTTTTCCTTGTATCTTGTTTTCTTCATTCTCCCTTGCTCCCAAAGGGGTGAGACCAGTGGAGTATCTTAGATGGCTGCTCACAGGCTTTTAAGACCCCAGACGCTACTCACCAAGATAGAATGTAGCATTTTTTCTTTATAAACTGTCTTATGCCGGTTGAGCTAGATGTTCCCCGAGACCATGGTCCCCACAGCCCGAGGAAAGTCTTTGTTCTGTTGTTCAGGCAGAAGTAATCTTGCTGGCATCATCGGCACCTCTTGGGTTATTTTGGAGCACTCCCTGCCAGTGTGTCAATACGTCTGAATCCCTGAAAGTAGAGGCCGATGGTAGGGGGCTGAAATGGGGGCATCACGTTTTCGTGACCTCATCTCTTCCCCAGGCCCACTCTTTGAAGGTCTGTAGTTTCCCGGGCTGGTCGTTTGTCTGGGCCCATGCTTGTGGTCTTCCCCCCGGAAGGCATGCCCGTTGCACTGGGAGGCCCAGATTCTGCCCTGTACCTTGGCCCTATCCTCCTTACTCTGTCACCCCACAGGAAGAGGTGGTGGGCTCACAGGCTCTGGAATGAGACAGAACAAGTGCAATCCCAGCTCTGATACTTGCTGGCTGTGGGACCCTGGCTAATTACCTCACCTCCCTGAACGTCAGTTTCCTCATCTGTAAAACGCGAAGATTATCACAACATCGCATCTTGTAGGGTGGTTGAGTAGATAATATAATTCATGATAATTATCACGTAATAATACTTGAGTGGGATTTAGTGCAGACCCAGGACATAGCAAGGGTGCACATGAGATGGTCACCTCCAACCCTTACGCACGTTTCTCTAGGATGAACATCTATATTCAGGATACGTTCTCAGGCCAGAGAGGTCCTTCAGTGTCCCCTGGGTCCCCTGGATCTTCCTTCTCATGGGGCTCCTACTCCCTCTTCCCCTCACATCCCTCTTGTCTTATTTCTGTAGTGCTGCTATAACAGAAATACCACAAGTGGATGGCTTTAACAAAGAGGTTTATTCTCTCACAGTCCAGTAGGCTGCAAGTCTGAATTCAGGGCACAGTCTCCAGGATAAGGCTTTCTCTCTCTGTTGGCTCTGGAGGAAGGGCTTGTCATGAGTCTTCCCTTGGTCTGGGAGCATTTCAGCGCAGGAACCTCAGGTCCAAAGGACGTGCTCTGCTCCTGGCACTGCTTTCTTGGTGGTATGAGGTCCCCGTGTCTCTCAGCTCGCTTCTCTCTTTTATATCTCAAAAGAGATTGGCTTAAGACACTATCTGATCTTGTAGACCTCATCGGTACAATTGCCACTAATCCATCTTTTTACATCATAGTGATAGAATATACAACACACAGGGAAATCACATCAGATGACAAAATGGTAGACAATCATACAATACTGGGAATCATGACCTAGCCAAGTTGACAGATATTTGGGGGGGACACAATTCAATCCATGACACCTCTTTTTAAATGCGTCTCCTACACCACTATCCCCATCCCTTCTCCTTCTTAAAGTCTGCTCTCAGGAGATGTCACAACATTCCTTTGTTCTAAGGTGAAGATAATTGCTTGGGCTTCTATGAACATCTCTATGGGACTTTGTGTTTTAATGTTCTGTACAGCCCAAGGAGCAAGACTCTGATGACAACGTTATTCTGTGTGCAGGGTCCTCTGAGTTTTGTGTTGTTGCTGTTAGGGCCTCCAAAGTAGCTGGTTGGCCACACCCCGTCCTCCGTATCACCCTGGAGACCAGGAGAAGATGCCTAGCCCTGGGGCTATCCTTGTTTTCCTCACCTGGTGTCAAGCTAACTCACCTCAACAGGCTTTCTTCCCCAATCTTGATGGTGCTGCCTTTTGTCTAACTTGCTGTGGAGATGTTCTAGAACCAGGTACTCTCAGTACCTGTATTTCTCCTTGGGCAGACCCTTCCACCCCAAGAGAGACTGAGGCTTTTCCCAGGGCTTTACCTCCTAGGGCACCCTGGGGTCCCAAAAGATAGCCTGGGGCCTACGAGGAACCTGCCGCTTTCTCGGATGGGGGGCTCAGGAGCTCAGGCTCACCCTGGACTCCATACCTGTCTCTGGGGCCTCCCCCCGCCCTCCGAGCTCATTGCTCTTGGTGGGGCCAGCTCAGGTGGGCACTGTGGCTCCTGGAGCTGGGCCACCTTCTTCCCAACAGCGGGCCAGGGAGGAGTGGAGTGCAGCCCCCTGCTCAGGGCTACTGCCTGGGGCTTGTCCTGCCGGCCCAGGAGGGTGCAGAAGGCTGGTTCAGAAGCTCTTCCTGCTCGTACATCTGTCTCCTTCCTCTGGATGGGCTTTCATGTAAGACTAAATAAAGCCGGCAGGGGCGTCCTCTGAGCTTGCTTGTTTGCCTTCTGCTTGAGGGGGGTGAGGGCCAGGTGACACCGCACATCAAAAAAGACATCAGCTGCTCAGTAGGGTGGTGTGAGCCCAGGTTCTGGGCCTCCTGCTCTCCTCCAGCCCGTCTCCCTGTCCAGCCTGGTCTGTGCACAGCTGTGCGCCCCCTGCAGGCTGGGGATAGGGGGTGAAGCAGCATTACGGGAAAACCAGGGATAGAGCTGGACAGGCCCAGAGGCAGAGGGACGTCCCTGGGTCCTGCGTCCACTGTGGGGCAACTGTTGCAACAGCTGATGAGCTTGCTGGTCCTGGGGAAAAGCTGATTTTGTTAAGATCGAATGAAGCAAAACTGAAAATCACAAATGAGTCTCTGATTGTAATCCGCTGCAGTTTTCTCTGAACAAAACTGAAAACAGAAATAAACAACAACAACAAAAAAACCCAGTTGCCATCAACTTAACTCCAACTCATGGTGACTCCATATACGTCAGAGTAGAACTGTGCTGCATAGGGTTTTCAGTGGCTGATCGTTCAGAAGTAGATCACCAGGCCTTTCTTCTGAGGCACCTCTGGGTGGACTCGAACTTCCAACCTTTCCGTTAGCAGTTTGTTAACTGTTTGCACCACCCAGGGACTCTGGACTAAACTGAATGAGTCCTGTATCTTGATTTAAATTCCAGCCTGGTCTAAGCATTCTGGCATCCTGTGAGCTCCTGAGGGCACCTCTGACAGCAGCTTTTATGAAGCATGTGTAGTAGGGCTCACAGCCGCCTGGACCCTCACTGGCCTTGGTTCAGGGCACTCCACACAGAATCAAGACCCCTCGTGTGCCCCATTTTACGCCACCAGCAGAAGCAGCTCTGTTCTAAGTCCTTCCCCAGCCAACAAACACCTCCCACCCTCAGGTGGCATCTCAACCCTGCCAGCCGCCCTGCTCCCCTGTGGGGGCGCAGGACAGGTGTTGACCCCAGAACTGGCTTTGGGCTGCAGGATGGAATTGTAGGGGTGTGGGAAAACTCCCCGCACCCCCGCACCCTGTCTCCTCCACATCTGGAATACCTATTCCTTAAGGTTTGATTACATGTTTATTGCATATAGCACAGTAAGAAAGACAGAAGAAGAATTGATGCATTCCAGCTGTGGTATTGGTGAAGAATATTGACTGTACCTTGGACTGCAGAAAGGAGGGACACATCAGTCTTAGAAGAAACAGAACCAGAATGTTCCTTAGAAGCAAGGATGGTGAAACTTGGACTTGCTTAGTTTGGACATGTCATCAGAAAAGACCAATCACAAGAAAAGGGCATCACAGTTGGTAAAGTAGAGGGTCAGCAAAAACGAGGAAATCCTCCATGAGTTGACTTGATGCAATAGCCACAACCATGGGCTCAAACACACCAACAATTATGAAGATGGTGCGGGATCGGGCAGTGTTCGTTCTGTTATACATAAGGCTGTTTTGAGTCAGAGCTGACTGGACAGTAACTAAGAACAATAATAACAACAACGACAGCATAGTATTTATTGTTCAGTCAAATGACAACATCAGAAAAACAAAGAGAAACAACCAAACCCGTGGCCTTGGAGTCAATGCCGACTCATAGCGACCCTATAAGACACAGTAGACTTGCCCCATAGGGTTTCCAAGGAGCAGCTGGTGGATTTGAACTACCAGCCTTTTGGTTAACAGCCGAGCTCTTAACCACTGCGCCACTAGGGCTCCAACATACAGTAGACCGTCCCATTCTTAGTGCAGGCAAGGGGATGGAGGTGAAGGTCACCAGGGAAACTGGCAGAGAAGAGGAGAGAGAAAGAGAAGGGGAAGGGGTTCCTGATGAATTTTCTGTGTCACAACTTGCCCTCATGCCAGTCCTGGCTGACAGATGGTTAGAAAATGTGGGGTTTGCTTGGGCACAGGGAGGGGGTGAGCGATTAGGTGGGCAGAGACTGGGGGAGGGGAGATGGGGGTATTTACTTGAATGGGGGGTTAATTAACACACTTCGTTGCCCCAGTCAGAAGGGCCATGGCTTCCTGATGACATCATCCTATGGGGTCTTTGGGCTCTTAGAATAATTTCCAGGACATGGCAAGAGGGCATTCAAGGGTCATTCCTGTACTTGTTGAGACAAGTGGACACTCTCAACTTACGCCCAAAGTTCATGTTATACTTAACCTGACACTTCCTGAGTCAAATATTTTTTTCTATTTCTTGGTCAAAACGCCAAGGATTAGAGGGCTGTCGGCACATTAAAAAGAATGAAGAAAAATCCCAATGTTTTGGGTCTAGGAACAAAGAATAAACAAGAGAGGAACATAATCACACTTTTGGGAGCAAATGAAGTTTTCCACCTTTGACAGGTGCAGTCTTAACGCTTTTCTATTGCTCATTTCAGTGGAAAATAGAATTTTCCACTTCTCTGCCAGGTTTCTGCCTTACGCAGGTTCTGGCTTTCACAGGTTTTACTGTACTACCAAAAAAAAAAAATCAACTTCCCCTGGTCTTTGCCCCTTGTCTTAGTTAAGGTTCTCCAGATAAACAGAACCAATATGATAACTAGCTAGATAGACAGACAGACAGACAGATAGGTAGATAGAAAGATAATGGATGGATGGATGGATAGATAGATATAGACTTAGAGACTATTTTAAGGACTTTGCTCACACAATTATGGGGGCTGGAAAGTCTAAAATTCATAAGTCAGATGGTGGGCTGGAAACTCCGGCAGGAAGTTTATTTAGTCTTGAGGCAGAAACGCCAGTTTTTGCTCCCAAGGCCTTCTGCTGATTAAATGAGCCCCATCTACATTATAGAGGGTGACCTGCTGTACTTAAGGTCAACTGACTTAAATGTTAATCACAGGTAAATTCCTTCAGAGCAGCAACTAAGCTAGTGTTTGACCGAATAACTGGGCACCATATCCTAGCCACATTGACACACAAAGCCAACCACGACACCCCCCAATGAGGCAACGTCTGGCTGCTTGCTTACTCCCTGGGTTCAAATACAGGTTTTTACGGAGGGGAATCTCATGCAGGCCCTTCCTCCGGGGTGCTGGAGACTAGAGGTGCTTGCCTGAGTCCCTGCTTCTTCCTTCAGCCTGTCTGCTCCTGGCCCTTCCCTGCAAAGTCCAGTCGAGAGGAGGAAACTCATGGCTCCATTTTCTAACCAGACTTCCGCCTGTCTCTCTCCCCCTTGGTAGATTGGGACGAGTGTGCGGACATCTGGGACAACGACTGCTCGGCCACCGCCCAGTGCCTCAACCTCGAGGGCTCCTACACCTGCCGGTGCCAAACGGCGAGGGACACCAACCCCTCCCGGGCAGGACGGGCTTGTGAGGGTGGGTGCCTGGAGCCTTGGGGATCTGTGGGGTCAGGGCTTGACTTCTCCCCCAGACACAGAGGGCACAGTGCCTGGGGCCCACAGCACTTTCAGGAGCCCATGGAAATGTTTGGATTTTAATTTCTTTTAAAACCAAAAGAAAGAAATTAATATAACAATTTTCCAGTTGCCACCGAGCTGATTCTGACTCATGGCGCCCCCGTGTGTGTCAGAGTAGAGCTGTGCCCTATAGCATTTTCTGTGGCTGATTTTTCTTTCAGTAGATTGCCAGGCCTTTCTTCTGAGGTGCCTCTGGGTGGACTCAAACCTCTAACTTTTCGATTAGAAGCCAAGCATGCTACCCGTTTGCATCACCCAGGGCTCCAATTTAATAATAATGATCAATATATAACAGTGAATCTAGCCTGGATTCTATTTATCTCAATGCAATTTTAAAATATAATTTTTAAGACTTTTTTTATGTAGGAAGAGGCTCATGGAGGTCATGATGTGGCCCTGATAGTGGGATCCCTCTCCAGGTGGCCACAAGCTTAAGAGGGCTTGGAGCCCAGGTGAGGGATAAGTGCCTAGATGTGAGGTCTCCTGAGCCCCAGTCTTGATGCATCTCTGCCACAGTCTTTTTTGGAACCAATTCTGATCAGTTGGTCAGGGCTTCCTGTGGTGCTAAGTTGAGAAGCATAAGGAGGCCACACCCAGTCTTAAATGCCTGTACTCGATTGGTCAAGTCTGCCCTGGATACTGCTGGCCGTGGGGAGTGGAGACCATTTGCCATTCCCAGCAAAGGCATCTCTAGCTGGAAGAAGCAATAGAGAATTAATCCCTGTGGAGAATAACTCTTTTCTTTAAAAAAAAAAAAAAAAAATTGTGTATAGTGTGTATATCCCAACAGTTTCTCTTCTCTTATCTTTTTACTATTCATCCAAAACTTCAGTAAGCTGATGAGAGTGAACCCCACCAAATCCCACCTGAGCACAAATTGTTCCATTTCCCCAATAGATCTGAGGATTGATCTGAGGCCTGTGAGAACTGAGCCCTGCCATAGGGTCCTGCTTCTGCAGCCCTGAGGTGGTTCTCATTTTGTGATCTTAGCTTAGTCATTTATAAAGTGGGGCACCTGCCTTGCCTCCCATGAGAGCTTTGGGCAGACCACAAACATGGGCTCCATTAAAAACTCACCCATGTCCCCACTTTGGGTCCACCTGGAAAACACAGGTGCCCTCTTGCTGGATGGCCTGTGTTTTCCTCTCAGATAGGACACCCTTACTTGGGAGGCCTCTGATTGCTGTCACTGGGTAGACCAGATGCCCAAGAGTACACCTGGTAGATCAGATGTCTGAGAGTCATGTGTCTTGGCAGGTGAGATGGAGAACCCCACAGAAGGCATGCTGCCTCCGTCAACAGGGGTGACGGCCCCAGCTCTTGGAACAGAGGCATCTGCTAATGGTACCACGGTAACTGCAGGCAGGTCCACGTTTGGAACCCCTGCCTCGTCACACAGCCCCAGGAACCTGTGGAACACCCCGGCAGTAGACCAGGCCTGGACCTTTGGACCCCCACTCAGAAGAGGGGATGACAGCAGCATAGTTGGGCAGGACAGAAACAGCACAGGGAGTGGAGTAGAGGAGGAGGTGCCCAGTGGGGCCCCAGGCCTGGCAACAGGCCAGTGGAGGACAGGTGGGGCGGTTGGCACCAGGGCTTCTGGGCCAACCCATGGCTCCCTTCTGGGGGCCACAGATGGCCCACTGGACCCCACTGGGCAGTTACTGCAAAATTCGACTGTGGAGCCCAGCTCCTGGCTTGCCCCTACCATGGGCCCTACAGGCCACATAGAGTGGCACCCCAGCGCCCCAACGCAGGACACGCCATCAGCACCTCTGAGTACCACGTGGCCATGGAACTTGCACCCTGGGCCCTCCAGCTCCCCGGACCTGCCATCGACCCCCAGCTCTGCTTCTCCAAAGACCCCCACCTGCGGTGAGTGGTTTGAAGGGTGCATCCTGGGCTCTCAGTGCAGGAAACAGTCGGAGGGCAGTTGCAACCACACCGTCTTTGCAATTCAAACAGCAAAGATCCATACAGGTGTAGTCTAAGGACCTTTTAGAAATATTCAGGGGCCTTTCTCACATTTGGATGAGTAAGCCAAGGTGCAGAGAGGCAGGTTGCCGGTTTAGTTAGGATGAGGACACCTCACTGTCTCTCCAGCCTTTCCCCCCATGTCATGGTCCCCCGTTTGCAAACAGCCTGGACAGGAAGTCAGGCATCTAGAAGAACCTTTGGATCATGTGAGGTGCGTAAGTACTGGAGTATACCCCAGCAGTGCTGTGTACCCCAGTGATGTCATGCACCCCCAGCAATGTCATGAACCCTTAACAGTGTCATGTACCCCCAGCATCTCTGCACCTCCAGCAGTGTGTGCACCCCCAGCAGTTCTGTGCCCACCCCCAGCAGCATGCACCCGCAGCAGTTCTTCATTGGGTGGAGAGGGTTTATCCGTCACTGAGGCCATGGTGACACCTCAGGGACACATGTCAGGTCTGGGGAGCACGGGCCAGGACCTTGAGGGCTCCCGTGGAGACTGTGCTGCACCTCTGCTGTGAGCTGGCTGAGCAGTCCCGCCCAGTCTGCCTCCAAATTAAACCAGCTGTTAGATGTGATCTCCATTAGTGCATTGCTGCCACTGAACAGTCCCAGGACTGAATGCTGAAGCCCACCTAGCAGGGCAGCAAGGCCCCCGGGTCCCCCTGCAAGGATGGCTCTGTGCCACATTAGCCCCTTCCTCAGTTGATGTAGATCCAGGGCTTTGAAGGTATCCAGCCCCTCCGGGGAGCCATCCAGAACCTGCCCAGGAGGACTTTATTTCGGGAAGTCCAGGAACCTCAGGGATGTGTTTGAATCACCTCCTGAAACCAAACCAAATCCTGAACCCTTTATTCTCATCCTGAGGGTCAGAGCTGCTGTTCTAGGGGGCCTAGGCATGACAGGATGTCCCAGGACCTGCTGGACAGTGTCACCTGAGACCTCCACGGCCCCAGTGTGGGGTCAAAGCAGGAAGTCCGTGCACTGACACCACTTCTCTCCTGGCATCCTCTGTACTTGGAGAGGTCGTGTCACCTGAGCAGCTCTGAACATTAGCCATCTGAGACAGAGAGCTTTTCTTTGGGACAGAGTCTCCTAGCGAGGAGGAAAGAAACTCTCCTGAGAGGATTTTGCATTTAAAAAACCAAGGATGGGAACCTCATGAGAGATTTGAGACAAGGTCTGAGAAATCACTGTATCAGCCCCTATGCCTTCATCTGTCGTGTTCGGCTCCTCTGTTTCATGGACAATGTTTGCAAATAGAAAATGCTGCTACCATTGTCACCTTTACCTGATGGACAAAAGCCTGGGGCTAGTATTTGATGTCTGGGCTCAGGGAAAGATGAGGCAGAATCAGGACACTGACATCCACTGATTGAGCATTTTGTAAATTGTCTCTAATTGATAACAAGTTTAAAAGCCTAGCCTTTAGGTTATGACTTTGGAGGCCATGGCCCACCAGCATCAACATTTGATTTCCAGTATTAGGGGAGGTTTTTCTTTACCTTTCTTCTTGGAATAGTTTGATAGATTTTAATTCCGCTTTTTTGTTCCACTTCCCAGTTCCTGTCCCCATCAAAAGGGTCACAGTCTCCAATGTGACCAGCACCAGCTTCCACATGGTGTGGGAGGCAGATCTCACCCTGTACCCCACTTTCCAGCTCACACTGACTTCTATGCAAAACCTCAGCCTGGACCTGGAGACCCAGAACACAAGTCTGACGCTGTCGGGGTTGGAGCCTGGCATCTTGTATGTGGTTGCGATAGTGGACAAAGCATGTGGAAAAGAAAGTGCCAAGGTGCACTTAAAAGTGAGGACAGGTAACGTGTTCCAGAAGCACCTGTCACCGCTTGTACTTAAAGGGAAGGAAAGAAATGCATTAAAAACATCTTAGGTGGGTTGAAATTTTAAAAGAGCTGGATTTGTTTGAGGCCTGCTGGGTTTCTGTCTTCTTCTCAGGGTAGTATGTATCTGGTTCACTTCACACTCAGCTGGTGTGCAACTGCCAGACATGTCTTAGTCACCTAGTGCTGCTATAACAGAAGTACCACAGATGGGTGGCTTTAAAGAACAGCAATGTATTTCTCATAGTTCTGGAAGCTAAAAGTCCAAATCAGGGTCTCGGTGTGTTGATTCCCTCTGGGGGCCTCTCTCTCAGTTTCCACTATCTGCCAGCAATCCTTGGCAATCTCGGCTTATAGATGGTGCTCATGTGGCATTTGTCTTTCCCTGTGTGTGTGTCTCAGTGTCTATTCTGCTCTTTTTATAACTCAGAAGTGATTAGTTTTAGGACCCACCCTACACTGGTCTGACTGCATTAACATAAAAGAAAACCCCTATTTCCAAACAGGATCCCATCCACAGGTATGGGGGCCAGGACTCCAAGACATATATTTTGGGGGACACAATTCAATCCATAGCACACAACCTGGCTCATTTCAGGACAAGGTGTGGGGCAGCCTGTGGGTGAAAATGTACCTTAGCCAAGTGCTCCAGACTTTGCCCACAGGGGTTGCAAATGCCCATTCATCCGTGTCCTCACACTTCTGCAGCCTGGGAATGGGTATAGGGTCTTTGTCGAGCTGTATCCATCCCCTACCACCCCCTCACTCTCAGCGGACCTGCACTTGGCTCTCAGGAAGAGCAATGATAGACAGTTGGACAGGTAGGCAGTCAGACAGACAATCTGTGATCAGCCCACCAGGGCTTGAGCCACACAGAAGAAGGGACAGTCCTAGAATGGAACGATAAATCAAATGTAGATGCCAGTGAGCTAAAGCTGATCCTTGTCCATAGGTAGGTATTCAAGTAAAAGTCCTCTTTTCTCCCCAATAGCATTTGTAATCTGGATATGTTCTTCAGCTATAACTTCCCTGAGTAGCAAGCACGTGCGTGATGTTGCAGAGTAAGCTGCCCAAGATTTTACAGCTGTGTTCTCCAAGGGGGTGCACACCGCAGACAGTGCCTGCTGTCTTCAGGCTTTGTTCCTGGGTCCTCGGAGTCTGGGTGCTGTGTCTGTGAGCTCAAGGGCCCAGGGAAGCCTTGGTTTAATGTTTCTCATTGCCAAATGGAAAAACACTATTATTAATATTGAAATGGTAGTCTGTCACCTTACATAGTCATTGCAAATGTTTTTCTTCTCTACCCACAGTGGCCCAGAGGCTCAGTGGAGAAGCCCGAATAGCTAATGTCAAGTATTCAGAATACTTTAGCAATGTGAGCAGCACAGAGTACCAGGACTTCCTAGAACTCTTCTTTAGGATGGTAAGTTGGTGATGGCAATGCTTATTTCCTTTTGGGATGAGAGGGATGGTAAGGGAGAGGGAACTAGAATTCTAGTTTCATCCAACAAGGACTTAGGCCGTGAGTCCATGATAGCATCCTCACTTCTAATGGAAGCTCGGGCGTGTTCACCTCTCCCAGTGGCTGACACTCTGGTAGACTGGAGTGTCTTTGTTCTCTGTGGCCCTTTGCTTTGCATGGACTTCTTTCCAGTGAAACTTCTTTATCGACTACGGGGCCCTGTGGAGCAGAAAAGGAGCCTTGGTGGCCCAGTGGTTAAAGAGCTCCGCCGAAAAGTTGGTGGTTGGAACCCGCCAGCCGCTCTGTGGGAGAAAGATGTGGCAGTCTGCTTCTGTAAAAATGACAGCCTTGGAAACCCTATGGGGCAGTTCTACTCTGTCCTTCAGAGTCGCTATGAGTCGGAATGGACTTGATGGCAACGGGTTTGGGTTTTTTGGGTGGAGCAGAAAGCCTCTCCCTTGCCTTTTTAAAAAAACTTAAAAAAAAATGAGGTGTATTTCACATACCATAAAATTTGCTTTTAAAGCGTACAATTCAGTGGCCTTTAGTTTATTCACAGAGTTGTGCAACCATTCCCACAGTCAATTTTAGAACATTTTCATCATCCCAAAAGACACCCGTACCCATTAGCAGTCACTTCCGATTTCTCCCTCCTCCAAGCCCCTGACAACTACAAATCTACTTTCTGTCTTTATGGATTTACCCATCCTGGACGTTTCATATCAGTGGAGTCATACAGTATTTGTCCTTTCGTGTCTGACTTATTTCACTCAGCATCCTGTTTTCATGGTTCACCCATGTTGCAGTGTATCGGAACTTCATTCCTTTTTATGGCTGAGTAATAAATATTCCATTGTACGGGTGTAGCCCCTTTTGTTTATCCATTCACCCACTGATAGAAGTTTAGGTGGTTTCCACTTCTGACTATTATGGATAATGCTTCTGTAATCTCCCTCCATAACAAAAAATTGTTCCTATTCTTTCTTGTGCTTCCTCTAACCATCCCCTTAGCATTCTTTGGGAAAGGATATTGTTAGGATTTGTAAAGGGCAGCAATCTCAATATTCTTTTTGATAGAGGTTAGATTACCCTCTGAAGAATAGAAGATACACTTGTCATAATCTAATGATCTTATTTACATAGTGGAAATCGCATTAATTTTAGCTTTTCCTCAAATTGGGAGTTCAAGTTTTAAGACCCGGAATAGAGTGAGTTTAACAGCGCTGTCTAGTGGCAGAGTGTGATACAATGGAGGCATGTTGGCAATGGTGGTGGACACATTGTATGTTTCCAAGGTTCATCCATGTGGTATCATATATTGGTATTTTATTTCTCTTTGTGGCTGATATTATTCTATTCTATTACCTTGTATTATATTATAATAATTATATTATAGATATTATATCTAATTATTCTATCATTATAATGATAGTCCATTGTATGTATGTACCACAGTTGGTTTATGCATTTAGCTGTTGATGGACACCTGGGTTGTGTCCACATTTAGACTATCGTGAATAGTGCTGAAGTAAACATTGGTGTACAAGTATCCGCCTCAGTTTTCTTGGTTGATCTCTCCTCTTTAAACCATTTCCCTCTTTGTCCATTTTTGGGGATAGTTATTTTTTGTTTGTCTAGAATTTAAGGATGGCAAATAATCATGTGACTAATATGTATAGGACATTAAAACCAGTTTGGAGAGGTAGTGGTTAATGAAGTGCCTACTTCTTAATCACTTCCTAATAAGGATCCTGGAACTTTGCTTTGAGATTTGTTTGAAATGCAACTGAAAGTGACATTAATCCAAGGCCATGACAGATCCCTGCCTGGAAGTTCCAGAAAAAGAGAGAGAGAGAGAAAGAGAAAGGAGCTGAGTGTTCGCTGGTAATGAAGGAGACTCAGTTTGGCACCAACCACTGAAGGCAGTTCAGGGTCTCTGGGGTCTGCAGCCTTAGGTGGGTGGCACGGCTTTGTTCATGCTGGGCCAACCTAAGGCCCAGGAAGGAATCTGTGAGCCCGAGCTTCAAGACACTGCTTCACACACGTTCAGATAAGGATGGAATTTCCCTGCAAAGATAGACCTTGGGGCTGCGCTTTCCCATGGAAGATTTGAGTTATACTGAATATCTGAAACCCATTCTAACCGTGTCTTTCTGGGCGTTTTGGCCATAGAATAATATAATGTGTGATGTATGATTCTGTCCAAAGTTATACAATGTAAAATAAGGCTTTTAGGGGCAAGAACTGCCTGTCCGAATAGGGATGTTAGAAATATTCACAGGGAAACAGTTTTGGAAAATACAGGGAGAAAAAATGCAAGGAGATAATGTTCTGCAGTATCAGTAGCAAAAGATTGTTCCAGAAAAAACATAAAATGGTGGTCTCACTCCCCATGACCACTCATTCAGCCCTCTGCCCTCCATGACTCTGAGTTGGGAGTTTAAAAAAAGGAATAAAGCAATTTATGTCAAATCAACCCCGAATCATGGTGACCCCATGTGTGTAAGAGTAGAACTGTGCTCCATGGGGTTTTCAATGGCTGATTTCTTAGAAGTACCTCGTGGCATCTCTGGGTGTACTCGAACCAGCAGCTTTCAGTTAGCAGCCTAGCGCATTAATAGCTTATACCACCTGGGGACTGAGCTGAGAGCAGCAGATTCTAAATGGGATGGTGAGCCCCCTACTGAGTTGTATGCCCTCGAGGGTAGGGTCCCTGTCTTTGCACCTGGCCCCATTCTCCACCTGCAGAAAGAAAACTTTCTGTAACTATTTGCTGGTCATGTTGGGGACACGCCCTCCTCACTATCATAGAAACACCCAGGCATTTGTGCTGGCCTCAGGGACACAGCAGACAGGACTGGACCCCAGAGCCGACCTTGACTTCTACCTTTTGCTCAGGGTGCCGGAAGACAAGGGCAACGCCCCTCACGTAGCCTGTCTCCCTAAAGGTGCGGAATGCCTTACCAGCCCGCATGCTTCGGCTCATGGACGAGGGTGGAATTAAGATGGAAGTCACCAGCGTCAGCAACGGCAGTGTCGTGGTGGCGTTCAACCTGCTGATCTTCGCAGACGTGGATGTCCGGGAGGTGTCAGACACGTTCCTTGCTGCCTTACAGAACATGTCTCTGCTGAAGGTGGTCAGAGGTGACACCTTCATCCAAGGTACATGGAAACCTGGACCCACAAAGACCTCAGCAGGGCTCTAGGGCCAGAGCAAGGAAAGGCCAGTTATGGCCCTTTTTCCCTTTTTAAATTAATTAATAATTTTTTAAAAAACTTTTAATTTTGAAATAATTATAGAGGCACAGAAAGTTGAAAAAAAATGCACAGGGATGTCCTATACACCCTTTACCTGGTTTCCCCCAATAGGGACATCTTGCATAATGGTATACAAAGTCAAAACGAGAAAACTAACATTGATACAATCCACAGAACTTATTCAGATTTCACTAATTTTATAAGCACTTATTTGTGCACACGTGTGTTCATGTGTGTGTACGTGTGTTGTTGTTGTTGGCTGCTGTCGAGTCAATTCTGACTCGTAACGACCCCATGTGACGTAGTAGAAATGCCTCATAGGGTCTCCTAGACTGCAATCTTTACAGGAGCAGATCACCAAGTCTTTTCTCCCATGCAGCCACTGGGTGGATTCAAACCTTTTGATTAGCAACTGAGCGCTTAACCGTTTGGGCCACCAAGGCTCCTTGTGCGTGTGTACATAGTTCTATGCAAGTCTATCACAGGTAGATTGGTGGGACCACCACCAAAGTCAAGATACAAAAGTGTTCCACCACCTGGTATCCTTTATACAAAGCCACAACCACCTCCTTTCACCCTTCCCCAGCCCCTAAGTTCTGGTAACCACTAATCTTTTCTCTACCTCTATAATTTTTTATTTCAAGGATGTTATATAAATGGGATCATTCAGTATGTATTTTTTGAGATTGGCTTTTTTCACTGAGCATAATTCCCTTGAGACTCATCCAAGTTGTTGTATCAAAACTTTTTACTGCTGAGTAGTATTCCATTGTATGGATGGACCACCATCTCTTTGTTTTTGAAAAACGCTGTTCCCACGTATCTCATTTTGTGTTTTTTTCCCTGAATTAGATGAAAACGTAGGCCCACCTCATCTCCCTTGTTGCTACTATGATGGATTATTTAAGGATTTAAGGGTTCAAGACATCTTCAGGTGGACCTGCAAAGATTCCCGGGGGTGTTGCTCCTTTCTACAGAGCCCCAACCCCACTCCCAGTCCTCGGTTGTCACCTGTTTCAAAGGGCTGAGGGCACACTTGCCCTTCTCTGCAGCCAGGTGTCCCCACAAGCATAATGTCTAAGGAGGTCCTAATAAAAAGAATTGAAAAGAAAAATAAGGAGCAAAAGGCAATCTAGACTCTTTTCTCATCTCACACTTGAAAATAAATTATAAATAGTTCATAGTTAACAGTATGAAAAAAAGAAGAAATTGTAAATTAATATTTTTCTAATTTTTTGAAATGAGAAGGATTTTCCAAGTTTAAAATCAGAGGAAAAACAAGCCCACAAAGGAAAAGGCTGAAATATTTGACTACATAAAACTGTAAATCTTTTATATTAAATAAAATAAAAGCATCATTGTAAAGCAAGCAAGAATTAAAAAAAAAACAAACTTTCAAACAGTTTGATGAAGGATTAATATCCTAAGTACATAAAAACATTATACAAATTGATAATAAAATACTAAAAACCTGACAAATTAATGTGCAAATGACCCAAACTGACAATAAAAGAAGAAACACAAATGACTAATAAAGATGTGATAATCAAAGACAGACACATTAAAAGGATTTGTTCTTTTTGCCCATCTTATAGTAAAGTTTTTTTTTTTAAACAATATTGATGAAATATGATAGGTCAGGCACTTGCATACATTGCGGGTAGAAACAGAAATTTCCTAGAAATTGCTAAAACTTCCTGGAAACTGATTTGGCATTCTTTGTCAAGAGCTTTAAAAATGTTCACCCACTTTAACTTTGGAATATCACTTCTAGGACTTTTTCCTACGGAAACAGATCTCAGTGTGGACCATAGTTTATATACAAAGACATTTCTCTTCAGTGTTACTTTAAAAACAAAAGAAATGGAAATAACCGATAGTCCTGTAGTAAAAAGCAGTTGTCGTCGAGTCAACTCCAACTCATAGCAACCTCAAGTATTTCAGAATAGAATTGTTCTCCACAGAGTTTTCAGTGGCTGATTTTTCAGAAGTAGACCGCCAGACCTTTCTTGAGGCACCTCTAGGTGGACTTGAACTTCCAACCTTTCATTTAGCTGTCGAGTGCATTAATGGTTGGCACCGCCCAGGGACTCCAGTCTTGTAATAGAGGAAGATATTAGTAAATTATGGTATATCCATACCATGAACTGTTACACAATTATGAAAAATGAGGTTTATTGAGATAGAAAATATGGCCAATACAAAGATAAGAGAAGAAGCAGGACTCATGTTTGTATATAAAACATATCCTTGGCTACGTCGTAATCCATATTTTTTAAAATACTAGAAGGAAATACATCAACATGTGAGCATTGTTATATCTGGGTGGTGGCCTGAAGGCTGGATTTATATGCTTTGCCATGCTTTTCTGACTTTTATCCATTTTCTGCACTAACTGGCATTGCTGTTGATACGCTAGCTAGCTGAACATAAAGATGAAAGACAAGGCAAGTTGCTGTGAGGGCCTTCTGTTTGGGGTAGGTCTTGCGTTCACTCCCAGTCTGGGACCAGGAGTCCTCCCACCAGAGTTGGTCACCAATGGCGGGACCAGCCTCTGCAGACTTCCTCTCACCAGCTCACCTCCATCCCCAGTGGACAACCAGGGTGCTGCTCTCTCCCTCAGTCTCTCCAGAACCCATGACCTTTACTGTGGTTTGGTCTGACTCCATGGGTCTCATCCTTTCTCCCTGAGGTGTACTTGCCCCCCAAGGATGTACGTATGGACCCAAGAGCACGCACCTCGTGCACTAGAACCCTCACGCCCGCAGTGATGGTCTTCTGCTATGTTTCCTAAATGTCACGCAGATTATGATGAGTGTGAAAGGAATGAGGACAACTGTGTGCCGGGGACCTCGTGTCTTAATACACTTGGGTCTTTCAAGTGCAGCTGCACAGGAGGGGCCCCTGACTTCTGGGTAGAGTATCCTGGAAGACCCTGCGAAGGTAAGGCTGTCATCATCCTTGTCCTGGAACACTGTCTGATAATCTGCTCCTTTCATCACATTCATTTGTAAAGTGCTTGTTTACCAAATAAGACCAGCTTACTTTTATGACCTGGGCAAGTCTCTTAATTGTGTGTGCGGACACGCATCTGTATGTGCCCCTGTCTGTGTGTTCCTTCATTCTTGCATACATCATCAGCCTTCTGGGAGGTGCCTTGTATCTCCAAGTGCTAGCTCAGATGCCCATGGTGAGAATATGTGCGCAGACTTGGGCAGGTTGAGGCTGTGAATGCCTCAATGCTAGAAGTTAATCTTGCAAAATTTGTGTGACACACCACACATAGGAAACATTTCTGCTCGGCTGCTCTGCACTCAGCAATTTTCCCATTAAACATGGCTTTAGGGGACTAGCGGGTTTTTAGGAGACTCAGTGTTGACCTTGAGATGACCCTTGCCCTCCAGGGTTTGCAGTCCATTGAAGGGAGACAGACATCTGTACGAGTAAATCTGGTGTCACGGGGAATACGAAATGTACTGTGCTCAAGGTAGACAGAGGAGGTTCAGAGGAGTGTCAGTTGTTCTAGTTCAGTGAGTGCATTTAGGGAGGGCTTCCTGGAAGAGGTGTCTTCGAGCTGGTCTGAGAGGATAGCTGAGAGAACACCTGGCAGAGAGGGCTGTGGTGGGCGTGGGGCGGGTGGAATGATGAGAACAAAGAAAGCTGTGAACAACAGCAGGGTGGGCTGGCTGGGTGTGGGTCCCTGGAGGAGGGGATGGGAGACAGAGAGTGGAGAGTAGGCTGGTGAGAGAGACGGAACAAGGCCAGATGGGAAGGACATGAATTCTGTGAACAGCAGTTTGGACTTTACCCTGGAGACGGGGTGAACTAGAGGCAGCGCGTTTGATGAGGTTGTAATGAGTTCCTGGATTTCCGGGCTAATCAAGATCAAAGATATGACCACAAGATGGCAGTGTTACACCACAAGGTATGTACTGGGGCTGATGCATTGACAGGTGCTGCATATGAGGGGATGTCCATCACAGGAGAGACCTTACAAAGGCAAGTGGCATGGAGGGTGGGGTGGTGCATCAGAAGGGGAAGAAGGCAAGAGAACACCCAGGGAAGGGGAGGGGAGTGGACGGAGGCTTACATGTCTAGGCAGTGTTCCTCAGTGGCAACACGGGGGGGTCTCTGGGTTGAAGAAAAACAAAAACCCATGGCCGTCGAGTCGATTCCGACTCATAGTGACCCTATAGGACAGAGTAGAACTGCTCTACAGGGTTTCCAAGGAGCGGCGGGTGGAATCGAACTGCTGACCTTTAGGTTAGCAGCCAAGCTCTTAACCACTGCACCACCAGGGCTCCTCTGGGTCAAAGGGCAGCAGCAATTTGGGGTCCTTATAACTACAGGAAGGAGCCCTGGTGGCGCAGTGGTTAAGCACTCGGCTGCTAACTGAAAGATTGGCGGGAACCCACCAGCTGCTCTGCAGGAGAAAGATGTGGCAGTCTGCTTCTGTAAAGATTTACAGCCTTGGAAACCCTATGGGCAGTTCTACTCTGTCCTACAGGGTCACTATGAGTCGGAATTGACCCGACAGCAGTGGGTTATAACTACAGGGTTTCCCTCATCTATAGCTATCAGATGTTAGGCACAGTTTCATGGGATATGCAAAGCAGGCAGGCTCTAAGTGGCTAAAAATCTGCTTATATGAGCTATTTTTAAAGCATCTGAATGTGTAAAAATTAGAGTTTGGCACCAGCCGGCTTTTTGGGCGACCGAGCCCAGCTTGCTATGAAGAACTAGGTAACCTGAGGCTGATCCGCAGAGGCTGTCTTTGGATCGTTTATACAACAGAGGTCCATCCAGAGAGAAAGGAAGGCGTGGACAAGGCCAGCAGGAGACCATCCTGCCCCAGGCCTGCACTGGTGTCTGCAGGGAGCGGACGCTGAGAATCTGTGGATGTGTCAGATGACCACATTGACCACCTTGTTGTTCTTCTGACCTTTGAAACCAAGCGTACTCTGGGGACAAGGAAGAAGCAGGGGCAGGAATGTGGGTCACAGGATCTCAAGAGTAGATATGATGGACACTATCTTAGAGACTCGAACTCAGGCCCCTGAGGTCAGACACCTTGCCAAATTCCATGGGCTCAGCATACCCAGAGCCAGCCTGGGAGAGGCTGGAGGGGTTGGGTGGGGGGCTGTCTTAGTTTACCAGTGCTGCTGTGATACATATAGCACAAGTGGGCGCTTTTACAGAGTAGATATTTATTTTCTTATAGTTCTGGCGGCTAAAAGTCCACATTAGGGTTTCAGCCATGTCAATTCCTTCCTTGTTTGTAGCCTCAGGTATTCCTTGGTTCCTTGGGGTTCTCCGGCTTGTAGAAGATCCTCATAGGATGTCTGTCTTCCCCATGTGTGTGTAAGAGTTCTGCCAAAATACCTGTTCATAGTCAGGAGGCAGAACACACCCTAGGGAACTCCCTTTTTAACTGATTGATTGATCGCATTACCTTAGATTGCATTATGGAAAGTGATTACATTACATTACATTTAAAGTAATTACATTAGGTTACGTTACGGAACGTATTTGCTCTACCCAAGGCTGTGTGATTTAGCCACATGTAACTCCTCCATAGCAGCACATGTAACTCTCCATAATAGCAACCAGACTAGTGTTTGGCCATTTAGCCAGGAAACATATGGCCTAGCCATGTTGCCACATTAAATTAACCATCACAGGCCCTTTGGGTCCCTGGCTTACAGTGGCCTGTGGTGGCCCCTGAGGAGCCAAGCCAGGCCTGTTGGCTGATGGAAATGTGGAATGTGTGTGTGTGTGTGTGTGTGTGTGTGCGCACATGGTTGTGGCTTGATGTGCAATTCCAGGTCTGGGCCATTGCAGGGTGCAGAGTGTGTCCCCATCTGCTACTCACCCCCTGGCCCACAGGCTGAGCTTAGTGGCTGACCCAAAACACAGACCCACCGTCTGTCTTTGTCTCCTTGTACCTTGCAGGTGACTCTACTGGCAGCACAACTCAGGCCCCTGGGTCCTCTCTGACCCCCGACCCAGAGCAGCCTCCCACCTCCCCAGGAAGCAGGGCTCCCCTTGTGCAAGGTACAAACCCCACCACCAGGAGCCTGCCCCAAAGAATGAACCTGACGGGGGCGGTCCGCGTGCTCTGTGAGCTCGAGAGGGTGACCATTGCTATCCAGAAACGCTTCCTGCAGCAGGAGTCCATCCCCGAGTCCTCCTTGTACCTGGGCCAGCCAGCCTGCAACGTGAGCAGCAGCAACAGCACGCATGTGCTCCTGGAAGCTGGCTGGAGCGAGTGCGGGACCGCCGTGCAGAGTGTGAGGACTGGGAAGGAGGGCACGTGGGGCTCACGGGAGGGCTCCCATCCGACCTGGGGGCCAGGGAAGATTCTGCACCCCCAAGGTCTCTGTCTCTTGGGGAGGGGACCCAGCAAAGGGGTTAGGACAGGGCTAAGGTCTCACCTGGAATCAGGCTGCACCCTGGAACCAGGCAGGAGTGGGGTGCCTGTCCCCTCTGCAGGGATCCTGATGGAAATGCCTGGGTAGGCGCCACACCAGGGGGTTAACACATCTTCCAGAGTGACTTAGTGAGCAGGCAGGATTGATAGCCAGTGGGACAGGAAAGGGACAGGAGAGCTGAGGGGCCTGCGTGTGCATGTATGTGTGTGTGTGAATGTGTCTGTGTGTGTGCGTGCATCTGAGTGTGTATATGTGTGAATGTATGTGGAATGTATATATATATATGAGTGTGTGAATGTGTGTGTATATGTGCATAGATGTGTGTATGTATGGGTTGGTTTGTATGTGTGTGAATGTGTATAAATACATCTATGCTGATATGTAAGTGTGTGTGTATGTGAGTATATATATATATGGTTGCATTTATATGTGCACGAATGGGTATGTTGGTGCATGCAAGTATGGTTTGTGTGCGTGTGTGTGCGTGTGTGTGCGTTGGTGGAGAAGCAGGGTGGCATTACTCAGAGTGATGGGGCCAGAGGGCTGTGTCCTCTCAAACATTCTTCTTATTCCAGGTCTTTGCTGACCACTAGGTTTCTGCCCCCCCGGTGGTGTTCTCAATTCAGTGTGCAGAGGGCCTCCCCCGAGCTTCTGACCCAGGGGCTCTGGGCACTTAACCCTCTCTGGTGACTCACCCTGCTGTGGGCACCGCTGCCCTGTAGAACCCCGTGGGGTGGGATGGGCTGATAGCTCCAGGTCTCACTTCTTCAAAAGGCACCTCTATATCACAGTGGACGGTCGCGCATCTTCCAGAGTTCAGCCCATGCTAGGCACTAGGGGGCAGAAGGAGCCCTGGAGTGGTCGTCCTGGAGAAATGTGTGCCCCTAGGATAAGGCTCATAGAGAGGCAGTGACACAGTGTGGCTAATTCAGCTTGGGGATGTGGGGTCAGCTGGCAGGCAGCTGGGGTCCGTGGTCTGGTGGGAAGAGGTGTGGAGGGGTCATTGGGCGACTGGGGTCCACATTCTGGTGAGGAAGGTGCATGGAAGGGTCATTGGATCACATGAGAGGCTGGCTTCCAGTGGGGAGGCAGCCTTCTGGGAACTGGGGCTCCATGAAAGACAGCCCAAAGAGTTGGGGGTGAGGGTGAGAACTCCGAGTGTTGCAGCGGGCAGATAAGGGAGGCTGGGAAGCCAGGAGGGGAGGTCAGATGCAGCAGGCATCCACATGGTTAAGGCAGGTTGGGGACACTGGGCCCTGGAGCTGGCCACCCACCAGGAGAGGACAGACAGAAGGGGTGGCTTCCAGGTAGGGGTGGGGTGTGGGGTCCAATGTTAGCCCTGATATTGTGGGAAGGGTCCCAGTAGGGGAGCAGAGCACGGCTCAGGTGGCAGGGGGCAGGAAGATTGTCCACATCAGGGAAACTGAACAAGAGAGAGGAGCTCCCAGCTGCTGGGCAGGAATCAGGGGGCTGGACTTCCATCCCTGGGAAATCAATTCCTAAAAGGGGTGGATGGGATATGGAACCCCGAGCCCTCCATGGGCCTGGCATGGGCTGGGTGTTCTTCATGCATGATGGCATTTAGTCCCTAACAACCCCATGGCAGGTATTGTATCTGTGTTTAACCCTTGAGACGTGGGGGCTCAGAAGGTCTACAAGGGTCAAGGTCAAGGTCAGCCTTGTCTCTGAGGACAGAGCTCTGACCGCCCCCATGACTGCCTCCCAAGGGAGCTGGCTTTTCTACCAGGACCTCGAGGGACCATCACCCTAAGACACTCCATGTGCAGGCACTAGGGGCATCTGGTTAGAGTTCTGGACGTACTCCCTCCAGGGGTCAGGTGGCCTCAGGCCCTGGCCTGGGCTGAAAGTATAGGAACAGGTAGACTTCCTGAGCAGGAGGCTCAGATTCTGACCCTGAGGCTGAGTAGGAAGTCCACCTTGGGGCATGGAGGCAGGGAGGCCACAGAGGCCAGGAGGGATGGAGATGAGGGGCTTTCTCATGGATGAGACACACTTGGGGAGGCACTCAACATGGTAGCTGTGGATCAAGAGACTACTTTGAGTTGCGGCCTGCTGACAGGAAGCGGGGCTGTGGGTGGTTTAGGGAGCTGAGAGAGAAACTTTAGTGTTTGGGTCTTTGCAGAGCGAGGCACCTGTGCTGTGTACCTGGACTCGCTTCAGTTGAGTGTGAATTCACCTTCCTGGGAGAGGGGCAGGAGGGGCTCAGATCCTTAGGGGTGGGTCTTGGGGGGTGAAGGGCCACCTGGACATTTTCTGTGACCCCAAACCATTGCTCACCCTACTCCCACCCCTCAAACTTACATAACTTAAAAATAAGTACTGGGTTTTGCTGTAATTTCTGGAAGTTTCTTAAGACTCTCACCTAGCAGCCTATTTTGAGAAGAGCATGAGCAACTCTAAGCAGGTGGCACAGCAACTTCTTGGCAGCTGTAGTTATGAGCCGCAGACGTACATTGAAGTGTTGATGTGAGCAGAGCTTTGGCTGGGTTCTCAGATCTAAGCAAGTCCACATTGTAATAGTGGCTCTGGCAGAGCTCTACAACTCATGTTGTAGAACATGAGTTCAAGATCTAAAAATAAGATGGTGGTTTCTACCCAGTGTATTCAGGGTGCTTGGTGATCAACACACCCAGGCAGTTCCCAAATGTGAGTCAGCACCTCCTTCAGGTGGCGGTGATGGTGAGGGGAGGAATGGGCAGGCAGAAACAGATACTGGGCAGATGGCAGCCCTTTCCTTTTCTTGTTCTGAGCTAGACAACAATTGAATTGGTTTGCCAATTAAATTCAGTTGGGATAAGGGCAGAGGGCCCTGGTGGTTTAGTGGTAGAATTCTTGCTTCCATGCTGGAGACCCAGGTTCAATTCCAGGCCAATGCACCTCATACACAACCACCATCCATGTGTCAGTAGAGACATGGGCATTGCTGTGATGCTCAACAGGTAGGAAGAAAGTTCTGGTGATCTACTTCAGAAAATCAGCTAATGTAAGCCCTACGGATCCCAACGGTCCAATCTACAACTGATCATGGGGATGGAGAAGGACCAAGTGGTGTTTTGTTCCATTGTGCATGGGTTCGCCATGAGTCAGGGGCCGACTCCATGGCAGCTCGCAACAACAGGTTTCAGGGTACATTCAGAGCAAAGGGGGTTTGTCTCCTATGAGTTATATCCAAGTTTCTGGAATCCATAGAAGCTCTTGATGCTTTTGACATTTGTCAAACTATGAGTCCTCTGAAGACTTATTTGTATAAATACAATGAAATACAGTGTCATAACAAAATACCACAAAGTGGATGGCTTTACAGGATAGAAATTTATTACAATAGTTCAAAGTGCTGGAGGCTGGGAGTCCAAATTCAGGGCATGTCCAAGGCTCTAGGGGAGGATCCTTCCTTGTCTCTTCCAGCTTCTGGTGGAACTAGGTGTTTCTGGGTGTTCTTTGACATTGCCACATGGTGTCCCCTCCTGTATGACTGTCTCCATGTCTGTTCTCCCCTTTATAAGAGACCGCTCAGAAGAGATTAGGACATACCCTACTCCAGTATGGCCTCATGTTAACTGATACTGTCTTCCAAGAGAGACCCTATTTCCAAACAAGATCACACTCAGAGGGATAGAGGTTAGGACTTCAGCGTATCTTTTTGGGTGACACAATTCTACTCATGACATAGGGACAGTTAGCAGTTTCTGTCTCCCTTTGGTAAATAAGAAACAAGTTAAAGCAGAGACGGAAACCTTGTGTTCTCTTTGGTGATTTAGGTTAGAAAAAAATCCTCAGGGTTTTTAAACTTTGGGGAACAAGCTTTAAAAAAGAAATCTCCTCCATACCCAGAGCCGTGGTCCCAGGCATGTCTGGGTGGCCTCCTGGGTCCCAGGCGCTCGCTCACGCTGCCCTCTGTGTTCAGAACATGACGAACACGGTGGTGAGGACCATGCTGCGCAATGACCTGTCCCCAGAGGGTGTCATCCACTACCTGAAGATTCTGAGCCCCATCCACTGCGCCTTCCGAAATGACCTCCTGGCATCATCGGGCTACACCCCAGAGTGGGGGTGAGTGGGGGCTCCTCACCACCCTGGGGAGGGCTGACCCCTGCCTCCTCTACGTAGCTGGGTTTCTCTCTAGCACCTTCACTTCGGGTTTCTTTGTGGTTATGACACTTAGAGGACCCTTCTTTGGAGTTGGGGTCCCTGGGTGGTGCAAACGGTTAACGCACTCAGCTGCTAACTGAAAGGTTGGGCGTTGGAGTTCACCTGGAGGCACCTCAGAAGAAAGACTGGTGATCTACTTCCAAAAAATCAGCCATTGAAAACCCTGTGGAGCACAGTTCTACTCTGACACTCATGGGGTTGCCAGGAGTCAGAATCGACTCAATGGCAACTGTTTCTTCCCCCACTTTGGAGATGCTTTTTAGGAGCCCTGCTAGCACAGCGGTTAAAGTGCTCAGCTGCTAACCAAAAGGTCGGTGGTTCAAACCCACCAGCTGCTCTGTGGGAGAAAGATGTGACAGTCTGCTTCCATAAAGATTACAGCCTTGGAAACCTATGGGGCAGTTCTACTGTCCTATAGGGTCGCTATGAGTGGGAATGACTTGACGCCAGTAGGTTTGGCTTGGAGTCGCTTTTTGGAGAAGTGGGAAAGGTGAGTCACAGAAACAAATGTCCTGAAAAATCACCCCCTTTTACAGGGTTTATACGATCATTGAGGACCTCCATGGAGCTGGAAATTTTGTCACTGAAATGCAGTTATTTATTGGAGATTCTCCTATACCTCAAAATTATAGTGTGTCTGCCAGTGACGACGTCAAGATCGAGGTGGGGCTCTATAGACAAAAAAGTGACCTTAAGGTGGTCCTGACGGAGTGCTGGGCAACCCCATCGAGCAATGCCAGGGACCCAGTGATGTTCAGCTTCATTAACAACAGGTAGGACTCAGGTGGGCACCAGGAACCATCACCTCCCCTGGTGTGCTGCCTGCATGGGGACCTCAACATTTCCAGGCAGATACTGAGATGGACCTGGGATTTGAGGTTATGTCCCAGAGGAGACACCCCCTCTCAGGAATTGATGGGGTAACCAGTCTCTTCTGGTTTCCACGGAGTCTTTGAGCATAGTGAAGTGGAGCTATGAGTAAATCCAGCTGGGACCCAGGACAGGAGGGCTGGTTTATAATTAAGGAGTCCCCTCTCCTCTCTTTGCAGCTGCCCCATTCCCAACACGTACACCAACGTCATCGAGAATGGGGACTCCAACAAGGCTCAGTTTAAGCTGAAGATCTTCTCCTTCATCAACAACTCTATTGTGTATCTGCACTGCAAACTTCGAATCTGCATGGAATCACCCGAAGCCACATGCAGAATAGTAGGTGTTTGGGTTTCCATTCTCACTCTTTACTGTTATGTGGAGGTGTCCCTGGGAGGTGCAAACGGTTACGGTGGGAGTCCACCCAGAGGCACCTGGGAAGAAAGTCCTGGAGATCTGCGTTCAAATAATCAACCATTGAGCACCCTGTGGAGCACAGTTCTACTCTGACACACACTAGGTTGCCATGAGTCAGAATATACGAGATGACAGCTGGTTTGATTGTAATGCAGGAAGTACCTATGTTATCAGAAGCCAAGGATTTGGGTGCTCTGGGGCCTGACTTCTGGGAGGAGGGCCTGTGGCCTGCAGACATCACGTCTAAGAGACATGGACTGATGTGCCACAGTGGACAGTCTTTGGGTGGAGGACCAATAGGAGCAGCTGAGTTGATGGGGCATTTTGGATTTATGGATGGCTACACCAAGTCCTTCCTGAAGCCATACTGTTCAAGTGGTTATCACAATTGGCACTGATTTGTGATAATGATGTAGTGCTTCTTCTCAAGGTGATTTGATGACTCTTTAGATGTAAAACTCATATTTTCACTTAATATTATTTTTAGTAACATTTACGGAACATCTACAAATACTAGGCAAGCTGGGTGGCACAAATGGTTAAGCACTCGACTACTAGTGGAAAGGTTGGGGGTTCAAACCCACCCAGAGGTGCTTCGAAGACAGACCCAGCGATCTGCTTCCCAAAGGTCACGGCCTTGACAACCCTGTGGAGCAGATCTGCACACATGGGGTCGCCATGAGTTGGAATCTGCTTGACAGCAACTAACAACAAGTGACATCTAATAAGATTTTTTTTTTCCCGTGTTCAACATCGACTCTGGGATTATGAATCATTTTTTTTTATAAACTTTTTTTTATTATTTTTTTTAAATTGTACTTCAGGTGAAGGCTTACAGAATGAATAGTTTCTCATGAAACAGTAGTACACGTTGTTTTATGACATTGGTTAACAACCCCACAACATATCAACTCTCTAACTTCTCAACCTTTTTTTTTGGTGAAAATAC